GTATTACTTGATCCTTTAGGGCAAATAAGTGGAAGAAAATATGTTTAAAGAGTTTGTTAATCAACTTCAGATTTAGTACATGACTGAAGAAGTGAACTGACTGTTACAACAATTTCCTTATTTAAAAACTTTAACATTAAACTATTATTTAAATGTTCAGTTTAGTAGATGTGGTGAGATACTGGGTAAAGATAACTTTCGTTTTTTCTATATTATTATACAATAATGAGATGGAAATTAAAACTACTCTTTTTTTTTTTGCTATTAAATTTTTTTCTTCAGTTCTACTCACGATTTCTGCATTTCTTGCAATGCTTTTGATAGTTCTGGAACCAGAGTTCGATGACTAGCTGCTTGACTGCTCACACCAATTACGTGTACATCGGCATCGACAGCTTGTTGGGCAACTTCCTCTGGAGTCTGGTGTGAAAAAAAAGAACAAAAGTCAGGGTCGAGGTTGATGCACTGTCCGATTGTAAAAGATGGGAAGAAAGGTTTGATTTAAGAATACCGGATGAAAATAACTTAAGTTTCTATAAAATGGCACCTGAAAGAAAAATTGCATAAACTACCTGGAATAATGGTCCAATGTCAACATCAAAGCCCATGTCAGCGAAACCAGTGGCAATAACTTTAGCTCCACGATCGTGGCCGTCTTGACCCATCTTAGCCACGAGGATCCTGGGTCGACGTCCTTCGTTTTCATTAAATTCCTGTACAAAAGTTTTCTTATTAGTACGTTAGAAAATGTGTGTACAAAATCTTCGAATCATAAAAATCCATACAACTCCCACATAAGTGATGACGCATTTCATTTCTAATAGTACAATGTATGATTTTCTTTTACGTACAAATCAAAACAACACTTTTTTCATCATCAAGCAACTCCAATTAAAAATCACTTTAACCTATTTCTCAAAAAAACTCTTACTTTTGTCATTAATTAGCAAAATTCTCAACGAAAATTAGCTATAAAGTGGAGAAGAACACTAACTTCGATCTTCTTCATGACGATGGTTAACTCCTCATTGTCACCGAAAGCCGTTTTGTATGCTCCTGACACCATCCGGTCTGAGGCAACATGCCTTCCAAAAACCTAATATACAATAATATTATTAGACTTTAATGCCATTTTTTAGATTTTATAAACTCTGAACTAGAAACAAACATTCCCAAATATAAATGAATAAATGCTTGTAACAAAATATTTTATACAGACCAACAGTAGTTAATATACAAACACTCAAAACAAAGGTGACAACATTACCAAATTGACATCCAAGATGACCAGAAACAGAATAAATTTTAGAGCTTTCTAAAGGCTATTAGTAAAATTTTAGGGTTTTACATGGCTACTGTAGATACCTAAATGAAATTTAGTATCTCTAATTACAATACTGCAGAATGCTTTTCTTCCATTTGTAAATATACAAGATAAATAAAAAAAAACTGGGAATTTAAAAACCTGCAAATAGGGATCATAAAAAAAAGAGTAAGGAAACAAGGCTGGAGATACTGTAGACATTATTTACTAAACTACAAATCCCTATTTTGACTCCACTAAATGTAATTCTAGGTAACAACTTAAATTAGGGTTAACTCTCTTCTAAAACCCGAGAGCAAGAAAAAAAGAAGATTGGTTATGTACTTTATTTCTTGTTTTTCATATTTATTATTATAAAATTAACTAAAATAAAAAATATGGATCATTTAAAGTTATTTAAGACTAGATTAGGTAAAATAAGTAATAATAATATAATTAAAATGGTTCAAAAGGCACGCATGCAAGCAGCTCATGGATAATGTAATTCGATAGCATAACATGAGCTGCGTGTTCCCCAAGTGATTTACAACTTATAATGGTGCAGACAGTAGTTAGACACGGTTCAAAGGGCAATAAAACAATAAATAAATGTGTACTGTTACGAACTTAGAGCTACTTAGGATAAACGAATGTAGTTTCATGTTACAATTTGAAGTCATTCTAGAAAAAAAAAGGGTAATTTAGGTATATTTCGATTTTTGTTTGTTTTTTTGTGGTTACGAAGTCGGTCGATTGACCAATCCCATTTTGAGATAGGGTAGAGAAAATAACAGATAAACTACAAAGTTTTACTAACAAAAATGTCTTAAATGCATTTAGGAGGTTTTAGGAATTACATGAAGGAAATTTGAGATTTTTCAGATGAGGAAAAGTATTTTCAATTTTAACATGAAAATTACTTTGCACTCAGACTATTCAAAACAAATACTTAATATATTAATGGACAAAACTTTATTTTATTAAAAATACTTCACTAAAAAATATGATTTTTTGTATGTGAAAGACTTATAAATATGAACTGAAAGACTGCTAAATTGTGCTATATTGAAAGTAAGAAGTATTAATTCTATAAAGACTTTAATCGAGTATAAAGAGGTCACGTGGTCGATCAAATTGACTGAGCTCGTGTTAAGAGAGTTAAAGTAATTATTCTATGAATGTGTGTAATGAAGTTTAATGTTATGTGTATTTTTTTTCCTTTTACTCCTTCACTTCAAACATATTATAGGGGTTGGCTCCCTAAAGACACCAGTTGTATAGTGTACAAAGCATTGAGTATCTACATGTTACAGTCATCTGTTATTGGCTGGTAATTCCTCTACTTAAGCTTTTAAAATGAACACCAAGGGGTAATGATAACATCGTTTACACAAGAATTATGATGTTTTTTTTTTATCTTATGTAAAATACAGAAGAAATAAATCAACCGTTCAATACCCCTACGACCTTTGCAGTACCTTATTTAGTATTCTACAGAAGGTGTGGGTGCAATATACCAAGCTGTTTTTGTTGTAGGCCAGCAAGAGAAGAAGAAAAATTACAAACACGCCATTTTGAGCAGATTTTCTTTTCCTTGTAAGTCTTAACATGCATGCTTTTTTGGAGAATTTTATATGTATACAGACTTATCAGTCAATAGTAAAGGTTTTAAAGTGTTGTTTGAACTGAAACTTTACTGTTTAAGGTGTTTTTTGCCCAAACGTTCTATTAGGGTTTTGTGCAATTCCTTGCAATACCTATTATGAATCACTATAATGTTTCATGATGAACCTGAATGACAACATTAAACACATAGATTGCTACCTGTTTTGCATAATTCATACTCCCTTAATTATATATATAAAAAAAATTACAACAATCTTATTTACCAAAAGCAGCATATTTTTTTTTTAGTTTTACAATCCCTGATTGGATAGTTTTTATGATTACTACTGTACTTACCTTTTCCATGGCATAAGAGATCTCCCCAACAGTGGCTCGTGCTCGAGAAGCTTCAATGGCCAAAGCTAAAAGGTTGCCCTCGTGTGTTCGAGCACATTCGGTCAGAGCATTGAGAGTTTCCTGGACCTAAGATAATAACAGTTTTTTAAAAAAACGTCACTGGCCCTCTAATGGGACTTTCTTCATTATTATAAAAACAGCTATTTTACTTGCTTCTCAGAAATTTAATTTTTGTCAGATGCTTTATTTTAAATTTAATTAGTTACGAGGTATACAGTCAAACCATAGAATTAATACTCATGTTTTATAACCTGCAGAAAATAATAACTTATGATAATAATGCACAATACTTGTGACTATTAAAATTAAATTACATCACATGTACGAAAATTCTTAAAAATATCATTAGCTTAAGTTGCTGTAATATGGTTTGTTTACTGATTTGCACAAAGCTACTCGAGGGCGATCTGTGTTAGTCATCCCTAAATTTGAAGTGATAGACTTGAGGGAAGACAGCTAGTCAAACCAACTCTTGAACTACTCTATCACCAACAAATACTGGGATTTACCAACACATAATGCTCCCACAATTGAAAGGGTAAGCACATTCAGCACTGGGTGTCAAGACTAACCACCAGGCCATATTTTGTTAAAGATAAAATTAATTCATTGCCTTAGAAATTCCTCTAACCTCTTACTAACATTCAAGCGTACAGTAAGATAACCTTCTGAAACAACGAGAAACAAAAATTTATTTTATCTTATAAATGAAGCAAAATATTTTTACTTTTAATCACAAAATTATCAAACTAGATAAAATAAAGGAATAAATAAATCAGATAAGATTTATTCACAGTTCTGGTAAGATAATCTCAGAAGTAACAAGAGTAGCACTCTAACGAGAAAAAAAAATTATAAACTGAGAGCAACTACGATAAACAACTGACATAGTTTATTCTGAAGAATAATGATGTTTACAAGATAATTCAATTATTTCAAGTTGAAAGTCAAGTTCTTTACATCTGTGGCTTTCACGTATAAACTAAAATTAAATGTCTAAAACTTACATTTTATTCTATCAAGAATATTTTGGAGAACTTGTATCTTATTCGTTAATACACAATATGTAAAAAAAATCATTTGAATATTCTATTGCTCAAATTTTTCACTTATTTTTTGAGTATCATAATACACTTCAACATAATACAATAAAAGTTAAAATAGTGTCATAAAAATATCAAGACCTAATCCGAGTATATTTAAGTAAAGTAAACTTTAGAAAAGGTTCTTATCTTGTCCCAAATTAAAACAGTTTTTATACATTATTTCTTCCATTTCAAAATTAAATTATCAATGAACCAAACCAATAACTGATTAAAAATACCCATTTTAAAAAAATAAAAAACAATTCAAAAGCCCAATTTTTTTTTTCATGAATTCAAAAGTACTATACGAATAAAAAAAACAATTACATTAATCATACTTTTGTAATTAGGCTTAGCTTAGAATCAAGAGCACAAGGTTTTAAGTTTAAGTTTATTAAAAATAAAAAAAAACAATTCAAAAGTGTCTTCCTAAAGCCCAATTTTTTTCACGAATTCAAAAGTACCATACAAATAAAAAAACAAAAAAAAATTACATTAATCGTACTTTTGTAATTAGGCTTAGCTTAGAATTAAGAGCGCAAGGTTTTAAGTTTAAGCTAATGAATAACTGACAGGTAGAGTTAAATATTTGACAACCAATAGTACCACATTTTTACCTCTTAGTAGTAAATTTAACAACTAAAAAATATTAATGCTTTTCAGAATTTAATTTAGTATTTAATGTTTTTAAGCTGAGACTTTAAAGTAACTTTAATTGGTGGCCTTTGCCCAAGTAAAAGAAATCAATAAATACGAAGCCAGGGACCGACCTTCTTCTCATCTCGACTATCCTTGATATGGTTTATTTTGTTTATCTGAGTTCTGCGGACCAAGGAGTTATCAACAACAAGCACATCGACCGACTCTTCTTTCTCCAATCGATACTTGTTCACACCCACAATGGTCTCTGTTGTGATCGTACAGAATAACAACAATACAGTAGACGTTATAGTGAAATTATTAAAATGTATATATTTCAGGATAATACTTACAATTCATATAACTCATCCTTTCTAGTCATGTAAGCTTTATTCTATCACTCACATTTATTTTATTGTATCTATATTTCATTAGATACATGTTACATACTACAGCATAAAATATTCCCAGGTGGTAATATCAATATTTTTGAAGAATCAGATAAATACAATGAAATAAACTCTTTCATCATAATTAACCCTATATCGATGGGTGAGCATCCAAGTGCACATGCCACAATGTTCTACAAAGTGTCATTCAACATGGTATTACGTATTTGATGTCAGAATTATCAACTCATGGTAGAGGATAGTAAATGTATAAGATAAACAGAAATAATGGAAACTTCAAACTAAAAAATATGTACTTCTGAAGTTCTGGAAATTATGCAAATACAGTATGATGGACTCTTGACTTGTCAGAGTCTCAATTAGACCGACGTCGTCAATTTACACACCAATCTTGAATACTAATACTTTATTAACACAGCTTATATTTTGTGTACAACAGAGATGTTCTGTTTATTAATACCTTGACACACTTCATGAAGATGTGTGTGTTAAATTCAGAATTACAATCAACATTATTTCTCCATTGGACTGACCCCGTGCACATTCAGTAGCCATTTTGCAATCACTTGGTTGAAACAAAATATATTTAACTTCCTTTTAGCACCTTAAAGTTGTTTTCAACATGATTGTTAACACACATGTGGCTAATTACTTAAACCTACAAATAACTACACTTTTTTTTGTATCAAAAGTTAAAAGTTTTTTTATCTAGTTATTTACTCATCACTATAAATTAGCAATTCAAACATTCACTTTACACAACAAGAAGATTCTAGATAATATATTCCTCGACTTGCCACTGCTAATACAACAGTGTCCATCTAAAAATTATAATTTGCTTCTATAAATCAAATTCTTTAAGAAAATTTGGAGTTGTTGGCTGCAAGGTTAAAAAAACCAGAAGTTAAACTTGGTGTACAATCAACACTGAAATATAACACAAACCAAACTTATTCTATGTTGTCCTATATAATTCTTTTATAAAATGGTAATTTTTCAGGCTGTTTTAAATTGTGTTTGTTAAATATTTATTTTTTCCAATTAACTTTTGATTCCACAGTATGATACTGCTTACACAACCCTATGCAGAAGAAGGGTTCAGTCCATTTGTTGATAAGCACAAAGCTACACAATGGACTATCTGTGCTGTGCCCACTAAGGGTACCAAAATGGTTTTTAGCACTTCAAGCCTTCAGATTTACTTTCAAGTCACTGGCGAGCAGAAGGACTCAGTCCAGAAATGATTAAAAACTAATTAAGTACTTTTAGAAATATCAATCAATGCTTATTGAAGAATTAAAATTTTGTAGAATACTGTTATGTTTTAAAGTTTGGTATTCTTACTTTTATTAACTTTTCCTTTGCTTGGAAAACTAGCAAAGTTAACAAGAAAGTTCCTACAGTACTTTAGTATAAACTATATTTGTTATTTCAGAAATTGTAAAATTTGTTTTCCTTACTGTGGTCTGTAAAAAACATTTTCACACACACACACACATATATATATTTTATATTAGTTTCCATGAATTAATTTATTTGCTCATGAATTATTGAGAAGTTTTTTCCTTATTTAAAACAAGTTGGTGAAAAATCTACTGCCATTTTAAATACAAGTAGGTATTCAAGCATACTGTTACAGTCGGTATGATAACAGAAATACCATACAGCAATTGATGAGATAATAGGGAAACTGACAGACTGTCTGTTCTGTATTTAAAATAACCTACGGACAAAACAATGCTTATGAACCTGAAGACCCTTCACAGTGACCTTTATAGCTCAGGACTTGACAAGAAGGAAAGGACACCATCAAAAGTCAAGCATTTTGTTCCAATACATACGTTAACATCTCAAGATTCCAACCTTTAACTCATACTGTAATCCATAATTTAATCTATACTGTAATCCGTAATTTAATCAATACTGTAATCCATAATTTAATCAATACTGTAATCCATAATTTAATCAATACTGTAATCCATAATTTAATCAATACTGTAATCTATAATTTAATCTATACTGTAATCCATAATTTAATCAATACTGTAATCCATAATTTAATCAATACTGTAATCTATAATTTAATCAATACTGTAATCCATAATTTAATCTATACTGTAATCCATAATTTAATCTATACTGTAATCCATAATTTAATCAATACTGTAATCTATAATGTAATCAATACTGTAATCTATAATGTAATCAATACTGTATTCTATAATTTAATCAATACTGTAATCCATAATTTAATCTATACTGTAATCCATAATTTAATCTATACTGTAATCCATAATTTAATCTATACTGTAATCCATAATTTAATCAATACTGTAATCTATAATTTAATCAATACTGTAATCTATAATTTAATCAATACTGTAATCTATAATTTAATCAATACTGTAATCCGTAATTTAATCAATACTGTAATCCATAATTTAATCAATAC